AACTAGAGCTGATGTGGTCTATCCAATGTGATTTTCTGAATCAGGACTGCAAACAACCAAACCAAATCTAAAGTTGACCAAAAACTGATTCGGAACCCTTTTGGTACTAATGTTGGAGAGTGGTTTCTGGTCAAAGTGGTCCCTGGTCAAGTGGGAACCACTGCTCCAAACAGTGAATTTAGGAGGAAGACACAAGGACAGAAGTTGCTATCCCCCAGCATCTAATGTCTGAGATGGTTGCCTCACTCATCCTAGTATGACTTGCTCTAATAGTGGGATGTTTCTTTCAAAATTGTTCCAATGGTTTGTTCACTCTCCCTTTTTTCTAGTGACTTGTCTCTAACTGTATCCCACCCTGGACTGAATTAAGACCTTTAGATGCCCTAAATGCTCAAAAGATGTTGGTGTTTCTACATAGAATCATAGAGTTGGAAGAGACCTCATGGGCCATCCAGTCCATCCCATGCCAAGAAGCAGGAAAATCACATTCAGCACCCCTGACAGATGGCCATCCAGCCTATTTAAAAGCCTCCAAAGAAGGAGCCTCCACCACACATATATAATTAAAAAAAATCTATATAAATAAAAATGTAATGTTAGTTTGTGGGATTAACTGAACTCAGAAACCACTGGGGAAACTGGCACCAAATTTGGACACAAGACACCTAAAAACCCAATGTATGTCCTTCACTCAAAAAATTGATTTTGTCATTTGGGAGTTGTAGTTTGCTGGGATTTATAGTTCATCTACAATCAAAGAGCATTCTGAACCCCACCAACAATGGAATTGAACCAAACTTGGCACACAGTCTCCCATGACCAACAGAAAATACTGGAAGGGTTTGGTGGGCAGTGTCCTTTGGTTTTGGAGTTGTAGTTCACCTACATCCAGAGATCACTGTGGACTCAAACAATGATGGTTCTGGACCAAACTCTACACAAATACTCAATATGCCCAAATGTGAATACTGGTGGAGTTTGGGAATAATAGAATCTTGATATTTGGGAGTTGTAGTTGCTGGGATTCACGTACAATCACAGAGCATTCTGAACCCCACCAATGATAGAATTGGGCCAAACCTCCCATACAGAACCCCCATGTGGGCCACAGCAACGCGTGGCAGGGGACGGCTAGTAAAATAAAAAATTGTATTTTTTGAAATGAAACAAAACTTACAGCAAGATGGCAAAATGTTTGTTTTTGTACATTTCCACATTAACTTATACTTGGAAACTTTTCTCTAACTTTTTCTAATTGCGAAGTGGTATATTTTGTGGAATCTTGTTCAGCTCACAATTTGCAGTTTTATACCATCTTGTCCATGGTAAACCCAGCAATAGAAGATGTCTGTAGTGCCCTTCTTCTCTTAACACTGTAAGCACATGCTTATTTTGCTTAATGGTTAACCCAGCCCTGACACTGCCAAATGCATGGAAGACTGGGCATAAGGGCACTTTGAGCTGAAGGACAGAACTGTTGCACATTCCTTCACAGGCTTTGAGAAAAGTGAAAACAAAACCTCTTGGATTGGGACCCAGCGTCCATACTTTTCTCTGGTACAGTAGAGTCTCGCTTATCCAACGTAAATGGGCCGGCAGAACGTTGGATAAGCGAAAATGTTGGATAATAAGGAGGGATTAAAGAAAAACCTATTAAACGTCAAATTATGTTATGATTTTACAAATTAAGCACCAAAACATCATGTTTTACAACAAATTGACAGGAAAAGTAGATCAATACACAGTAACGTTGTGTAGTAATTACTGCATTTACAAATTTAGCACCAAAACATTGTAATGTATTGAAACAGCTGTGGATCCGGGTCAGAGAGAGACTGCATTGGATAATACAGAACGTTGGATGAGCAAAGATTGGATAAGCAAGTCTCTACTGTATCATCGAGTTTCCTCTCTTATTGTGAATGCATAAACATATAGAACTGCCATCTATTACATCATCGCTGTGAACAATGGTTGTGTGAAGTCCAGAATGCTATGTTAGGCAAAGGTCAGTTGTGTACCTTGGAAAGTTCACTGGGGTGATGTAATAGCCACATCCATTGTTGGAATGGGATACAGTACACACTGGCATGGCAAAGGAGCATTTTTCTTTCTAGATACAATCTTTTTAAAAATCAAAGAATAAATTCTTTGTTAACAGTGACCTAGAAACCAAACTTATCTTCTGCCAAGTGTTTGTTTTAACAGTAGTGAGAGGTTCACTTGGAACCATCGAACATAGCTAGTGCAAATGTCTCCACTGCATAGGCAAAAAGTGTGGAGGGGACAAAATGTACCATATATCTGTCAATGTCAGTATGGAATGTACTGCACACTGGCTATATATTTCACAACATATATTAATAAAATATGCATTTTTAAACAAAAACAAAACAGAATAAATACAGATTAAGAACCTTATACACACCCAAAAGAAAAGTCATACCACCAACCACGATACAACCCATGCATGAGTGAATTGTGACAAGGTAGACAGAATGACACACGTGTGACAAATATTTTGTCTGAAAGTTATAGCAACTTTTGGTTACAAAGAACAAGGACAACACCATGCATTATTAATAGTTTTGTCACAGAATGAATATCAACCACAAAACCCCCCAACAAACAGCTGAATCAAGTTTTCCTTTTCTCAATTGGTTCCCTTTGTTCCACATCCCTCCACCCCCATTCCCACTGGTTATAAGCTTTTAAATTCCATGTGCACTAATGATTAATTCCAAAGTAATATTAATATCCAAACTAATATCCATATCTTAAATTGTACAGGTTGCTACACTGAGGAAAATAAGCAAATAATACGATGATGTAAAGCAGACATGGGCAAACTTTGGCCTTCCAGGTGTTTTGGACTTCAATTCCCATAGTTCCTAACAGCCTCAGACCCCTTCCTTTCATCCTCAGCCACTTAAGCTGTTAGGAATTGTGGGAGTTGAAGTCCAAAACAAGTGAAAGGCTGAAGTTTGCCCATGCTTGATTTAAAGACAAAACAGGTCAGTATACTATTTTGAAATCAGAAGTGGATAGGGAGATGTTCTCCCTGGCAGAGCTGTGTTAGCTTGTATCAACCCTAGGAACGGCCAAGATGTCAAGCACGTGTCAATAACAAGATCATTTCATTTCATGGCTCATGAGATAAAGTTATGTATTCATAGACTTTTCATTTGAAACAGTTGTAAAAGAAAAAAAAAGCTTTCCTATGGTAACTTCGAGCTTCATGTCTATGGGTTGCTGTATTGATTTTTTAAAAAGCGATTAAAGCTCATTACCAGGGGCAGCTAGTGTCTCTCATGCCAAGGTTGCAATTCTAGAGCTGTCCAAGGTTTTGAAACTACCTGTGACTTTGATAATTCCTTTAGAATCTAGAACAGGCGTGGGCATACTTGGGCCCTCCCTCCGGATGTTTTGGATACAATTCCTAACTGTCTCAGGCCCCTTCCTTTTCCCTCTCAGCCACTTAAGCGGCTGAGGGGGGAAAGGAAAGGGCCTGAGGTTGTTAGGAATTGTGGGAGTTGAAGTCCAAAACACCTGGAAGGATGGCCCAAGTTTGCCCGTGTCTGATCTAGAATAATACTACTTTCCTGACATGGAAACGCCAACTGCCTCTTATAAAGACCACCGTGCAAATAAATACACTGAATAGAAAAATGTTGCCATATCCTTATCTGTGCTTGCTTACTGTTCTTCAAGCCTTCACCACAATGCAAACTTAAAAAATGGGAGACTACTTTAAACGAAAAAAATTGGATTCTGACCAAATATATACCAGTGGCAGCAAGTGGTTCTGGTGTCAATGGAGAAAGGAACATGCTTTTTAATTTATCCCAAACTTTGAAGAAGTGTTGTAGCTCAGAGGTTTCAGCAGTCACAGTAGCCAGGGGCTGATGGGTTCACCAATGATTTAGATTCAGAAGGGATTGTTGGCTTTCCTGGGGTTCAAAGTGATACAAACCAAGAGAATGATACATGCCAAAGAAATGAAATTGCTTCAGATAGTGATGTAGGCCAAAAGAATGCAATTGCCTCGGAGCTCCAAGATTAGTCACAGGAGTCAGAAACAACATCCTTAGATAAGGGATCGAGTAAAGATAAACTGACAGAAAACTCAAGGGAGAACACCTGGTGATACAGAACCAAGCAAGGATTTATGTTTGCAGATTAGAGCAGGTAGTCAGCTCCATAAACCAACAAGGCACCATTGGAAACAGATAGAAAAAGTGAGTAGGAAATGCAATGACTTTATGTTTGCTTATTAGAAGCCAGTGTGTACCCTAAATTCAGTTCAGCAACATTGGTGATTGAGGGAGAACCTAGGCCTGAGATCCTTTGTCAAGTCAAGTCCTGTTTTTAGTTTTACTTATCTTGAAAGGTTTCTGTGTTCTTGTTTCATTATTCTTGCTCAAGTTTTCCAAGCAGATCTGTTGCTTACGGATTTATGCTGTAATTCTGACTTTTGGCTATTCTTGGACTACGTGACCTTTGGATTTTCATGAGACATTGTGTGATTATCACCTACTACTAAACCTGTTTTGAATTATTCCTCATCTTTCTTTATTCCAGCCTTTTTTCATATATTTTATGTGCTTTTCCAATAAACTTTTTGTTTATACTCTGGACTCTTGTGTGGTGCTATAGTCATAGGGGCTCCAGGCTTGGGGTTCAAAAGAAGGTATCTAACATGTATTTATTTCAGGGTCAGGGTTCAACTTTTTAGTGAGTTCCCAAAGAGCCATTGTTGATTTGCCATAACAATTACAGTTATCAGATCAGTGGATCTTGAAGCACTCCTGTGAACATGTAAAACTGGCACAGTATTTGTTTATTTCTTTATATCCCCCACCTTTAGTTACAAAGGTTCTCAGAGCAGTTGGCAAATTGTGAATAGTATGCATTAACTGGGACCAATTGCACTGCATATCATAATCATAACACAACCATCGCGTTTTTTAAAAAATCTGTAAGATATTTTTTCTACTTACCCACACACTGGTTGCTGTCACTCATTTGGTAGCCAAACCTGCACATGAGAGGAGCTCTTGCAGCTGTGGGATAATTGGGAGCAGGAGCTGGGGCTGGAGGTGGTGGATATAAACTAGGTGCATAAGGATTCATAAATGGTGTTCGATAAACAGAATCTGTTCGTGGAGCGCACAAATAGCCACCATGCTGGTTAACACACACCATGTCTCCCCTGCAGGCTTCAGCAATAGTCCGACATTCATCGACATCTGAAGGGACGTAGACATGGAAAAGTTCTCTCTTGTTTAAATCAGTTAATAATTCATGTCTCTATTTTATTCAGGTCATAATTCAATAATTACTGGAATACACGTCCATAACACAGCTATATTGAAGGACAATCACAAACAACATGCGTTCAGTTAGGACACTGATTGTAAAATGGGTCTTTTTTATCTGGTGGGGTTTAGTTCCAGGCCCCTATGGGTACCAAAATATGCAGATGCTCATGTCCCATTATATACACTGGCATAGTAAAATGGTGTGCCTTATACAAAATGGCAAAACCAAATTTTGCTTTTTGGATTAAAAAAAACATTTTCAAGCAATGGATGGTTGAGTCTGTGGAAACAAAATCCATGGATACAGAAGACTGATTATATTTGGTTGTGAAAATTCAGTTTAAAGGACCTAATGCAAGCAAAATCTTACCCAAGCATCGTCCTGTGGAACGATCCACCTCAAATCCATTTGAGCATGGTTGCTAAAAAGCGAAAGTGAGAATTCAGTTAATGATAAATCTGCAGAACACAAAATTACAGATCAGAAGTTAATTAATGAAGAGGAACAAGAACAAAAAAAAGCGGGGAAAACTGTCTTCTTTAGTGTTGTGTTTTGTGCCTTTCTGTGTTGTTTAAAAATGGATAATTGCTGTCTCCCTCATCAAACATGTTACTCTTACCATTTTAATCATCCACACAATTGGCCACCATAAAATACAATGAATACATCCGACGACAGCTGCCGTCATACCTTCACGTATCCACCTTTCCACACTTCCAAGAGAATTGAGAGGTCTGAAGTCAATAACTAACTGACTCCAAAAATGCCTATTTCTAGACACTTTTAAACCGGAGCCCAAAGGGTAACCCCCAGAAGTAGTCTTGCGTCGCCTCCATGGGACTCAGTTTTCAAAGTATCTAGAAAGAACCAAGGTGAACATGAGCAAACAATTTGATAGAGCAGCTAAAAAGCCCAATGGGATTTTGGGCTACGATCAAAGGGAATATAGTGTCTAGATGAAGGGAAGTAATGGTACTCCTCTATTCTGCTTTAGTCAGACTTCACCTGAAATACTGTGTCTGGATACCATAATACAATATAGTAATATATAATACTAATATTGTGTTATGGTAATAATATAATATATTGTATTTACCTATTACTTGTAAGCCACTCTGAGTCACCTCCAAGGTGAGAAGGGCGGCATATAAATGTCATAGATAAATTTTAAAAAGGAGGACTGCTAAAATGATAAAGGTCTGGAAAACATGCTTTATGAGGAACGGCTTAAAGACATGATGGCTATATTTACTGTAAATATTTGAAAGCATGTCATAAGGAAGAGGAAACAGGCTTGTTTTCTGCTGCCCTGGAGACTAGAATTTAGAGCAATGGATTCAAATTACAGGAAAGGAAATTCCAACTTCCTGACCATAAGAACTTTTCAACAGTGGAACTCACTGCCTCAGAGTGTGGTAGAGGCTCCTTCTATGGAAGCTTTTAAACAGAGGCTGGATAGTCATCTGTTAGGAGTGGATTATGCTTTTCCTGCATCGCAGGGGGTCGGACTGGATTGCCTGTGTGATCTCTTCCAAATCTAGGATTCCATGATTCTAGAATTCTTAACCTCTAGGCTTCCCTTGTGTCCTGGTACAAACTGTACAAACTGACAGTTCAGAAGATGGGGTGTTTGGGAACCAAGTACAGGTGGAAGAATATTACACAATAGATGTGGCTTGGCCTTTGCTGTAGTAAATGTGAAATGAATTGAGGTATCTTAGGTGGATCACAATCTATGAGCCTGTAATGTGACTATTGCCAACAGAAGCTCCACAAGGAGCAAGATGCCCTCTACAGGAATTTAGTTTGAATGCATGAGACTAGCGTCACACACTTTATAATACCTGCTAGTTACACACACCTGACTGATGCCTGGTCAGCTCAATCTAAATGGAGCTGCCTTGGTGTGCACAGACATATTCCCAGCACAGGACAGTAACCCTGCTTACAGGGTTCCCACAGCCATGCATGGAAATCCTTCACATGTAGAAGAGAAGTAAACTGTTGTGTGGCTGCTGCAAAAATACCATTAATGAAGAAGGATTGTCTTGCATATTCTTTCTAATTCCTTAATGCAGTCCACACTGAAAGGCACAAATTACCCGAAATATTGTTGCAATGGAGGTCTCATCTAGCGTATTGTGTTCACCTCCACAGAAGAACTGGAGGGATCCTGGAGCTGCATTCTGGTCTTGTAGACTCTGCAACTCCTATATCCTGAACATAAAACACTGGCCACTTTTATTACTAAAGCAGAATCACTCCAAATGATCCAATGTATTTTGAGCCACCAAATAAGTCCAACTCAATTTTGAAAGGCTGCCAGCATTTTGGTATTGTGTTAATTGTTGTCTGATTTTTACATAAAAGGAAGAAAATTTAAATCTGTAAAGATACAAACTTTAACTTTAAAAATCTTGTTGTTAAAGCTTTGCTAAGTTCAAAAGACCAGGTGGCCCAACTGAATTGCTGGCTCCTGTCTCTCCAAATTCCATTCTGCATCATCTGGCAGAGTATGAGAGGATCTTGCTGCATGAACATGAGGTCTTTAAAATAATACCCTCTCTTCTGTCTCTTTCCCATATCGCTCCAACTTTTACCCTAGGCACTGTGCAGTGTTCTGCTATTTAAGACCCAACAATATGATTTTGTTCTCTGGGCATATTTATGCATTTATGCATTGGAATAAATTTCCAGTAATACATTAATGTATCCAAATTATGTTGCAGAGCTGTCTTCCTATATCAACATGTGCTCAACACCTCAGCAAGAGAGAGTCCAAAAGTGGCAGGTTAAAATCTGGAACCTCAATCAGTGGCTGATACCAGATGAGAAACTCCCCCATGGGCACACAGAAGACTGGGCGACTTGGAAGGCGCTGAACAGGCTGGGCTCTGGCACCACGAGATGCAGAGCCAACCTTAAGAAATGAGGCTACAAAGTGGAGTCCACTGCAAGTGTGGAGAAGAGCAAAACACAGACCACTTACTACAATGCAACCTGAGCCCTGCCACATGCACAATGGACCTTCTCACAGCGACATCAGGGGCACTTGAAGTGGCCAGCTTCTAGTCAAAGGAAATTTAGCTCAACGCCAAGCTCTTAACTTTGTTTGAGGTTTTTGTATGCATTGTAACTATATTCTCAATCCGCGTCTGACATGATAAATAAATAAATGTGTCCAACAAAACAGATGTTTTTGTCAATTAACTGTGTTTGTGAATCTTATTACTCCATTCCTTTAAAAGTGTTCACACATGCAGGAAGTTAGTTCTATATCTATGTATCTCTCACCTGTGTCTTCCCATGATTTAAGAGGCAGCCAGTCACCATCAAAATGGTCATTAGCCTGCAATAGGAACACAAATTGTATCATATGAAATCTCTCATTGAAACTGTTGATGCGCCATAGATGATCGAAAGCATTGCAAATAGTTGACTCCACCCTTCCACCCATCCATCCAAGCCAAGATGTGTAGCAGTCTAAGTGCTAAATTGGGAGCAATTTTTCAACTCTCTGCTGTCCAGAGACAGCACAGATTGCCACAAAATCCCAGAAACGTTAAGAAATCCACTTCTAGTTTTGAAGTTAAACATTTCAAGGTCAATTTATTTTAAAGGTGGATTATCTCCCCAGCAGGATGTCCAAGAAAAAGAAAAGCTGGCACACATATTATATAACTTTAGCAGGAAAAAAAAAAGAAAACCCAGAGATATCATGGCATTGTGGATTCAGATAACCCAGTTCAGAGCAAATACTGTGACATATTCTGCTTCGATATTCTGGGTTATATGGCTGTGTGGAAGGGCTATTATACACATGTATCCTCCACCCAATCCTACTCTAAACAGTTTAAGACCATGTTACTTGGATGATGGTTGCAACCAAATGTGTCTGTATTGGGCTATTGAAGCCCTGTTAATAGGTCTGTAAATAAGGGACCATTACTGGCAAAAAAACTGTTCTGTATGCATATATTCCTGCTGATGCATGCTGGACTTCCTGATAATGCACACCCTGTCATCCCTCGGGGTGAGAAAAGCAGTATACAAATACTGTAAATAAATAAATCTTCAAACACTTGCTTGTTAAGACCTGTCAAGAGACTTAACCACTGATTGTTATAACCTGCATTTTGTGTCTTTAATTGGTAAATAAAATAATTACTACAACCTTATGTTACACAACACATGGAACATTTACAAACAGTTTTCAAAACTTTCTTCTTTTCTTTCTTTATGCTTCTACTGGCCCCTTATTTTTATACAAGGTCCCCCAATTGCACCCATGGGGCAATACTGCCCACTTTGGGAAGGGCTAATTTAAGCAATAATCACCTGCAAGATGTCTTTGGGATCAGGAACTTCTGAAATGTAAGGCTTAAAATATAGATTGCAATGTGCAAAACAAATGTTAAGAACCTGGGTATTGCAATGAGATTTGGGGTTGGTCTGTATGTTTAATTCTTATCTCTGTGATTTATATTGGCAGAAGTGCCCGTGCAGGATATCCTTAGGCCATGTTCTGTAAAACCTGACAGCCTGGTGATAAGCAGTGGCATAGGGAAATATATATGATGGATAGCCATGTCTCATTCTCACTGCTTCAGCTATTCCAGAGGGAGATGGCTAAGCCATAATAAAATGATAATCCAGCAACTGACAAAGTAAAAATATACATTAGAGGACTGAGTTGTTCTCTACAAGAGTGCTAATAGGTCCTTTGCAAAACTGGGGAGGGGGTAGCAATGGTTGGGAGTGTGTGACAAGGTGAAGAGAAACTGTTTTATAATCTAATTCAATATGTCTTTGTAGGGAGGTGTTCACTTTTATAATATTTTTACTATTGTGACTCCTGCAGTTTACAGTTACTAGTTTCTAACCTAAAAAAAAAAGTTTGTCCAGTTTGTGCATATTGGAAGAGGCAGACAAATCTGTTCACAGTTCTGACAGGAACTCCTTAAACTATTCCAGAACAAGTCCAACAAAATAAAGCATGAAGTCTAAAGGGAACAAATCACTCAGTCATTAATTATATGCAGGGTGATGTTGCTTTGCTTGGCAGAAAATGAGAATCATTCCCTAGAGCGGCAACTCTAGAATCAAATGCAACATAGTTTGAAGCCTTCCATGACTTCACTTGAGGAAACAGAACAGTGGGTCTGACACTCCATTTTTGGAGAAAAGGGAGAAAGTTTGTGAAAGTGTACTAAACGTTTACAAAACAGCTGAAATCCTATTTTGAATTTAAGCATGTATAAGTACTAGGCTTATGCATTCGGGGTAAACCTTGACCTGTTTCATCTCCCAGCTTTCGGTGGGGGCCCCAATACGTATTTTGAGAACCTCCCAAAATTGGGAGGGCATATATCTGTTTTGGCTCTGGGGTGCCAAAAGATCAATTTTCTATTGGCCATTTTGGGGGGGTTGCTTCCCACGCTCCCCTTCCCATCATTTTAGGCATTTAAGTTGTTTTACTCTAGAGAGGCACTCAGCTGCAGGTAGGCCCATGCACTGAGCCTACACGCCACATACACACACTCTCTCTTTCCAAGACATGAAGGCAAGTTCTGACTTCCTTACTCTAGAGGAGGCGCTAGGCTGCAGGCAGGCATGAATGCGGGCCTGCACACCACACATCATTTTCTCTTTCCAAGGAAAGGAGGCATGGAGCTCCATGTGCTCACAAAAGCAGAAAGAGAGATGGTGATTGGCTCCTGCTTGCTTTCGTGTTGAGTAGGTTTTTGTGCCTGGGACCTTCTTCCCATCACGTGCTCCCAAAAGTGCTGGAGGTACCGAAGGAAACGGGATCTGCACACAACTCTAATAAGCACTCTAATTGCTGTGCTATGCAGTGAACCTTGATCTGATCTTTCCCCAATCTCCACTTAGTAGGCAGTGACTAGCTATTGCAGTTGATCTGGATCTGTTCCTCTGTCACTCTGAAAGCAGCTGACTGATGTTTCCAGCCTTTCCCATTAGAAATCTCTAGTACAGTGCTTCCCCAGGTGTTTTGGTCTACAATTCCCAGAAATCCCAGCCAGTTTACCAGCTGTTAGGATTTCTGGAAGTTGAAAGCCAAAACATCTGGGGACCCACAGGTTGAGATCCACTGATCTAGTGCACCCAAAGATGCTGGAGGTGCTGATCTAGTGCGGCAGGAAGAATCAGAGTCTCTGTCATAATTCCCCCTTGCACCTGACATGAACCACATGCAGAATTAAGAACATCAATGAACTGCTTCCCAAAAGACAGGGAAACAGACATATTGATTGCAACAGCTGCATCTTGGTAAACGTGGATTGGGAGACTTTAATGAACTATGGAAAATGTAGAGATCATGAATGCATCTAGTCACAAGTGTGTGACTCTAAGTAGATGATTCTGGACAACATCAGTATGCTATTGTTTGATAACCTATGTTTCAGGTAAGAAAACTTTATGTGGAGTATGTTTCCAAAAGGTACCAAATAAAAAAAAAACAAACAAAAAAACATTCAAAATGTGTTAAAGGTGGCAGCACATTTTTGGCTAGGAGTAGAATACTATGTACAGATCAAAACTATCAAAGCATATCAAATTATCTCAGTATGGGATTTGGAAAATTTCATTTTATAACTAAAGAATGCATATCCTCAGCCTATACATACATACATACATACATACATACATACATACATACATATGTGTGTGTGTGTAAGATCCAAGTATTTCAACAAATGAAATATTGCATCCATAAGGATTTACCCATTATGTCTATTAAAAAGATTATAAAGCATTTATACTATATTTTGTGACAGGAGAAATAGTAACTGCTTTATGAGCTAATTCAATGTGTGTTTTAGGGAGGTTTTTGCTTTAAGAAAACTTTTACTGTTGCCACTTCTGTAGTTTACAGTTCCCAGTTTCTAAGGAGCTGCTAACAAAATGTTTCTCCAGTTTGCACATATTAGAGGAGTCAGAAAAATCTGCTTACAGTTCCAACAGTAACTTCTCAAATAATTCAGAAGTCCAAAAAAAAAAAAAAAAAAAAGAGGAGAAAAAAGCAAGCTAGCCAGCTAGCAAGCAAGCACAAACTGTTTAGTCATTAATTACATGCAGGCCGATGTTGTTTTGATTGGTAGAAAATAAGAAACATTCTTTGGAGCCATCACTCTAAAATCAGATGCAATACAATTTGATGTCCGGCAGAATTGTGCATCTTGATGTCTCTGGGTCCCTTAAAAACTTTCTGGAGAGACAGTTGAATGTCTACAGTGCAGTGGTGAAGCTACCAAGAAGGGGAGGGCATTGGACGGTTTGCCTCTCTCACCAAATGTGAATTCTGCCCTCCTAGAAAAGTTTCCTTCAGATCCTCAATTCCTAGTAACTTCAAAATTCAATTGAGCATTTAGCAATATAGGCCAAGATCCTGCACTGGAATCTCCTTCTGACAATGGCACCCCAAAAGCTTATCTCTTAAGGAAGGCAGCACCCCAACTAAATGAAACCCAAGCAGATTGGACACCGGGAAATGACTACAGTACTCTCAGTGTCTTGCCACAGCTACTTCTTTTAACACGTCCACTGGTTAGGAAAAAGCTGTGGTTGGTATTGCCCAGTGCTATGATCTGATTTTCCCAGCAGAGGGTATTTCCCAGTGTCCTTACTGGAAACCTTTAGCTAGGATGCTGCTTGGCTTAAGAGACATGTGGAGGTGTCATAAATCTGGCTTATGATCTCATAATGAACCGGATGCCAGTCAATTTAGACGTCCAAACGGCAGGCAAAGTCTAAGGGAATGCAAAAATACTTCTGCGATTGCCTTCATCTGAGATTGAGGATGCATCTACACTGTGGAATTAATGAAGTCTGACACCACTTGGACTGCTATGCCTCAGTACAATTGAATTCTTGGAATCCTCAAGATTTTTGAGGCACCAGAAATCATCTGAAGATAAGACTAAAGACCTTGTAAAACTATAATTCCCATGATGCATTGAGCCATGGAAGTTAAAGTGTTTTAATTCCACAGTGTGTATGCATCCTCAGAGAGTGTGATTTGCCAAGGTCACCCAGTGGGTTTCATGGCTGAGCAGGGATTCAAACCCTGGTTTCCAAACTGTAAGGACCTTATCACATGCACTGCCGGATGTGCCGTGAGTCATGGTGATCCTGGCTTTGCCTGTCCAAGGGGCGTGAGGAACTGTCACTCTGCACTGTCCTGGTTTTCCCCCAACCTCATCAGACAGGGGAAGCCTCTTTAAGCCAGCTCGAGCCATCTTTCCTTATGGAAAGATGGGGAGTCTCCAGCGATTTTAGGGCAGCAGCAGGGTTTTTGCGGCAGTTCAGCCATGGAGCTGCCCCGGAAGTACTTTTTCTGGGTATGATGGAAACCAATAGGCTCCATGGCTAAAGTAGAAAAGACCCATTGCCACCATTGAATTTGGGCCTTTCAAGAGGCCCTTAGTCCAATGCTCAGATCACGACACCACACTGGTAGACACTGATACATTTATATTTCTGAAGTTTAGTGGCGTTTTCAAAGTCCTGTTGTTAGTTGCATTTGTACTGCTGGCTGACATTAGGTTGTTTTCAGAGATGCCAGTTACACCAAATAAACAGTAAATTAATAACTGCAGATTTAAGTCAAATATTTTTAGTTTTCTCAAATTCAACTGAAGCAAAGGTCATGGTCAGACAGACATTTTCTTGTGCTACTAATTACACTTCACTCTGGACACTGATTTTACATTTCCTTCCTTAATGTAATCATTGGACAGAAGAGAAAAAGAAGGAATAATTGGAAAACATAAGAGGGTTACAAATTAGAGATGTCATCAGTTGGACCCTTCCACAGCTATAAAAGTCTATGTTTAAGGTAGAGCGGCTGCAAGAAGCACCAAAAGCCTACCTTCATATAAATATATAAATTAGTCTTCCCCAGTTTGTATTTTTTCCCATCTTCTTGTTTTCTCTCCTGTTCAAATTTCAGCCATAATTTCTTTCTGATAGGGATCTCCTTTAATTCACACAGCTTCACTTCACTTCACTTTATTTCTTAATTAGTCGCTCTCCACCAAGGTGCTCTGAGCGACTTACAATTTAAAATAGTATTTACACAATATAAAAACATTCAACATAAAAACATACAACAGTGACTATTTGGCAAATTAGATCTGATCACTTTACTTAAATGCACAACCAAACAGCCAAGTCTTGAGCGCCTTTACAAAAGGTTGCAACTCCGACATTGCTCTAATATATGGAGGCAATGAGTTCCACAGAATTGGTATGCAATGTTTTTCACTCTTGACCTAGTATCCCGTGGTTCTCAACCTGGGGTCCCCAGATGTTTTTGGCCTACACCTCCCAGAAATCCCAGCCAGTTTACCAGCTGTTAGGATTTCTGGGAGTTAGGCCAAAAACATCTGGGGACCCCAGGTTGAGAACCACTGACCCACAGAGATGGTGGAAACATGTACAAATTGTTGTAATTCTACACTGTAGAATTAATGCACTTTAACTTTCTTGGCTCAGTGCTTAACTTTCTTGGCTCAATGTTGCAGCATCCTGATTTTTCTAGTTTGATGAGATAGCCACACTTTTTGGTAAAGACCTCAAAAAACTACGACTTCTAGGATTCCATAGCATTCAAAGAAAAACTGGTGTCAAACCATTAATTTTAGTCTAGATGCACTCGTAGTTTCTATATAGCCTCTTTCTGTCATGATCGATCCGTTAAAAATACATTTCCAGTTGCAAGAATTGCTTTTCTTTATCTGCAATAAGTTCTTCAAGACACATACTCTTCTCAAGAGAGATAGAGGGGCATAGTGCAAACACTGGCCCATCATAGATTTTGGCGCCTCAAATGTTAGCCCTCTTTCTGAGTATATTTGACCTGCTGGTTCCAAAAAAAGCACCAGTGTTCCCTTATCAGCTCTAATGTTTGAGATATAGAACATAAACCATCTACCACATCCCATTTACTCGCCCATAGGAAACTATGATAACTATATCCAAAAGACTAGAGCTGACATGGTCTATCCAATGCGATTTTCTGAATCAACACCCCAAATAACCCCAGGAACGGAGCCCCTGGTGGCACAATGGGTTAAACCCTTGTGCCAGCAGGACTGAAGACTGACAGGTCACAGGTTGGAATCCAGAGAGAGTGTGGATGAGCTCCCTCTGTCAGCTCCAGCTCCCCATGCAGGAACATGAGAGAAGCCTCCCACAAGGATGGTAAAACATCAAAACATCTGGGCATCCCCTGGGCAACGTCCTTGCAGACGGCCAATTCTCTCACACCAGAAGCAACTTCCAGTTTCTCAAGTCGCTTCTGACAAACAAAACACAGGAACAGACCTAAAAAATAAGACACCAGGATCTGTATCTATCAATACAATTTCTAGTTAATAAGGCTGATAGAGCCAAAAGTTGAAACTGTGTAAACCAAAACCAAAAGAGCAAAAAAATTTCACAATCACGGACTAGTTTTCAGTCTGAAAATAACTCATACGTATTTGCACAAAAAAGTTTTACATTCTGTAAGTAAAGGGCAGAAAAGAGTGCAAAGGAAAATAAGTCTATATGTTGCACCACAAATAATGGAACTGAATCCACTCTCCCACTTTTGTTTCTTTATAGGCAACTTAAGCAAGTGTAATGCAATCAGCAACCTCAGAGACTGACTTCCAGGACGGGGAAAACCACAGAATTTAGAGCATCAACTTACCTTTTCAGTCCTGTCATGTCCAAAGTTGAGGAAGAAAGCTGAGGAAGAGAGAAATAGTGTCCCAATAGGTAAATACTGAAATGCAGATTTGTACATGAAATCTTTTGCTAGAACTTCGGTCCTGCCATCATTTTTATTCCAGAGAATGAAAGACCAAATCATAGAGAAGCAGGGGAAGACAATCAGAAAGAGAGAGAGAAAAAGAAAGAGAGAGGGGGAGAGAGAGAAGGGGAAGGAAGGAAGGAGGAGGGAGGGAAGGAGGGGAGGGGAGGAGAGGAGAGGGAAGGGAGGCTTCTGCTCCTCCTCAAACACTGGAGAGAATACAGCAAGAAAGCACCTGGTTTTGCTTAGTTCTCTTCTGTAATTCAGCATTAAACCAATTGGAAGAGGAATGTTAAAAATGAACACTTCATTTTCTAAGTATGTTAAACAATGCAAATGGGAGGCCTCAGTTTGGGGACAGCTGGTTTAGATTAGAGTGCTCACCAACTGGCTAGACTCCCCACAACACTCCTAAGGAGCCTGCCAGGATTGAGACACACACACATATGTATACACTCACACTACACAATTTGAAGGGAAGCCTTTTCTGCAGTAAATCAAATACAGGAGTGCTAGAAGGGAAGATAGTACTAGCATTGGACAGTCAGAAAGCATTCTATCAGGAATTCGCCAAGCATCATAATGCGCAAATGCCAGGGTCCCATACTTTGCAATGTTGCACAAATGAAACAAAGACTGAGTAATTTCAGAGTGTGTTCAAGGAGACAAAAGTTATTAATGCGGAAGAACACACAAGCTAGAAGAGGCTGCAGCAGTTTGCTTTTGCTGACTCTTCTGGAAAGCGCATTTCCTCCTCCCCGCTCGTCTCTTCTCCCAACTCACTGATTTAATTAAGTGCAAACTATTCTCGCACTGTGAACTCTGTTTACAGCTATGGAAGAAAACCAGGGAAAAAGAGGAAAGGGGGAGAAGGAGAAAGAGACTGTGATAAAGTAGCTGAAAATGTGGGATGGCAGAGAATTCATTGGGACTGAATCTGCTTCAAAGATCATCTTACTTACATCTTGTCATACTGTTCCATCCTTGCTATAGCAATTTATTTTTAGTGGCAAAAAATGGACCGTTGATTAAATAAGGAGTACAATCAGTGGCTCATAATAAATTGTGGCAAGTTCTTGGTGATATGGGGATACCAAGTCACCTTGTCTGCCTCCTGAGGAATCTGAATAATGATCAAGTAGCAACAGGAAGAACAGACCACGGAACAACAGACTGATTCAAGATTGGGAAAGGAGTATGGCAGGGCTGTATACTCTCACCCAACCTATTCAACTTGTATGCAGAACACATGCAACATGCGGGGCTTGATGAATCCAAGGCTGGAGTTAAATTGGCTGGAAGAAACATTAACAAGCTTAGATATGCAGATGATACACTTTGATGGCTGAAAGCGAGGAGGAACTGAGGAGCCTTCTAACCAAGGTGAAAGAAGAAAGTGCAAAAATTGGGTTGCAGTTAAACATCAAAAAACCAAGATTATGGCAACCAGATTGATTGATAACTGGCAAATAGAGGGAGAAAACGTGGAGGCAGTGACAGACTCTATATTTCTAGGAGCAAAGGTGACTACAATCAGAAGACGTTTACTTCTTGGGAGGAGAGCAATGACCAGTCTCGATAAAATAGTGAAGAGTAGAGACATCACACTGGTAATGAAGTTTCACATAGGTTAGTCGCAAGGCCGAACAGGGTATAGGGTTACAGCCTGTGTTAGACGGGGTCGCACTCCCCCTGAAGACACAGGTTCGCAGTTTGGGTGTGATCCTGGACTCATCGCTGAGCCTGGAACCCCAGGTTTCGGCGGTGACCAGGGGAGCATTCGCACAGTTAAAACTTGCGCGCCAGCTGTGCCCGTACCTTGGGATGCTTGACTTGGCCACGGTAGCCCACGCTCTGGTTACATCCCTTATAGACTACTGCAATGCTCTCTACGCGGGGTTGCCTTTGAAGACTGTTCGGAAGCTCCAATTAGTCCAACGGTCGGCAGCCATGATACTAACAGGAGCGGTGCGCAGGGAGCATACAACTCCTCTGCTGCACCAGCTCCACTGGCTGCCGATTTGCTACCGGGCTCAATTCAAAGTGCTGGCTTGGCCTTTAAAGCCCTAAACGGTTCTGGCCCAACATACCTATCCGAACGTATCTCGGCCTATCAGCCCACCAGGACCCTAAGATCTTCGGGAGAGGCCCTTCTCTCCATCCCGCCTGCTTCACAGGTGCGGCTGGCGGGAACGAGAGACAGGGCCTTTTCTGTGGTGGCCCCGCGGCTTTGGAATGCCCTCCCTATAGAGATAAGATCAGCCCCTTCGCTGATGGTATTTCGAAAAAGGTTGAAGACATGGATGTTTAAACAAGCATTCGATTAATCTGGTGCAACGAAACTGATGAACAAGGATTGGTTAATCACAGACGACGAAATTGGATTGCGACTACAATTAAGAGATGCATTGGATTATTATTGGTGGCCCAATAATATTGTGTATTGTGTATGTGTTTTTATGCTTTTTAATGGAATATTGCTGCTTGTCGTTGTGTTGTAAACCGCGTTGAGTCGCCGATTTAGGCTGAGAAACGGCGGTATATAAGCACAGTAATAAATAAATAAATAAATAAATAAATAAATAAAGCAATGGTATTCCCTGTAGTAACCAATGGATTTTGAGAACTGGACCATAAGGGAAGGCTCACTGAAAGGAAGGATATAGAGGCAAAGATGAAGTACTTTGGTCACATAATGAGAAGACAGGAAAGCTTGGAGAAGATAATGATGCTGGGGGGAAAGGAAGGAAAAAGGAAGAGGGGCTGACCAAGGGCAAGATGAATGGATGCTATCCTTGAAGTGACTGGCTTGACCTTGAAGGAGCTGGGGGTGGCCATGGCCGACAGGGAGCTCTGGTGTGGACTGGTCCAGGAGGTCACGAGGAATCGGAAACAACTGAATGAATAAACAGCAACAACAACAATCAGTGTTATCACTAAAGTTGATGTCACCCGATGCAACAACTTATAGTGTCACCCCTATGGACTTCCTCTCATATCAGACTATCTCACAATATTATACTTAATACACCAGAATTTTTTACAAAATTAGCAAACCAAATCCTTTCTGAACAACTCTTGTCAAGGAAAATAATTGAAAAGGTATCCTTGTTATTGGCACTGAGTTATAAACAATCGAAGGCACAGAACAGCAACAATATAAGTATGATAACTACCCCCTCGGGGGCCTAGACAGAGAAAGGTAGTCCATTTTACAGGGATGGGGTAATTAAAGGAAACAATTTCCCCTTGTTTTCCTGTTATTCCTCCACCCATGTCACTGTCGTGGAACCCTCGTTTATGAAATTGGAAGGGGGGCGGCTGTAATAAACAGCAGAAACGGGGGACATGGTTTTTCTCCTTTAACTCCCCCCAACTGTAAAATGGACTATCCTCCCCTGTCTAGGCCCACTTTTGGAGTCTGCCCAGATAATGGAACAGTACCCAAAAAGGTTACATACAGTCCTTTTGATCTCACTTTGGATGGTGTCACCTGTTGTTGCATGTTGCATGTCCATTTTCTAGCAGCATTTTCATTGCTACTTCATAACTAATTTTGCTACTGTTCTGAATCGTAATGTAAATATCTGATATGCAGGATGTATTTTCGTTCACTGGACGAAATTTGGCACAAATGCCTGACACGCTCAAATTTGAATACTGGTGGGGTTGTGCGGATCACTGGAGGAATTGACACCAAATTTGGATACAAGACACCTAACAAACCAATGTATGTCCTTCACTAAAAAAATTGATTTTGTCATTTGGGAGTTGTAGTTGCTGGGATTTATAGTTCACCTACAATCAAAGAGCATTCTGAATTCCACCAATGATGGAATTGAACCAAAGTTGGCACACAGAATTCCCATGGCCAGCAGAAAATCCTGGAAGGGTTTGGTGGGCATTGACCTTGACTTTTGGAGTTGTAGTTCACCTACATCCAGACAGCACTATGGACTTAAACAATGATGGATCTGGACCAAATTTGGCACGAATACTCAATATGTCCAAATGTGAACACTGGTGGAGTTTTGAGGAAAATACACCTTAACATTTGGGAGTTGTAGTTGATTTAGGAGATTTATAGTTCATCTACAATCAAAGAGCATTTCAAATCCCACTAATTATAGAATGGGGCCAGATTTCCCAGACAGAACCCCCATGTCCTGATGGGACTTGCTTGAGCAAGCCTCCCTTCATCCTCACATGTTCTCCCTCGTCCGCACAGGCACACCACACTGCCATGCGCCAAGCACACCTGCTCTTCCTATCCCATTTGAAACAGCCCTCCCCTTGACTGAGAAGCTCGTCAATCACAGTGGAGGATTTGCCATCCATTTCCAAAAAGGAAGAGAAGGACAGGCAGAGAGATCTTCAGCTTTCTCTGCCAAAGGGGTTCCTATGTTTTCTGATGGTCTTTTGTGACCCCTCTGAAACCCCCTCATGACCCCCGACCCATAGGCTGAGAAACACTATGCTAGATTATTTGTGCTGGTGTCTCATGAAACTTGAAAAGTAAAGTAATAACAAAAGAGCTAGAGAGACAATCCCAGAACTAGCTAGCATGTTCCCCTTAGAATCATAGGTGGCAGCTGTAACAAATTACATCTTATAACAATGAGCATAGATTTGTAATTTCACAGACATAACTATAAAACAAGTGGTTTTGCATAGGAATACAACAGGCTATTTGCTATTAACTACTACCAGTTTATAGTGATGAGAGACCTCCAAGAGGCTTGCTAAGGTTTGAAGGAAACTATTTAGTCACTAAATCAGAATAGCATGAGTTTCAAAATTTCTGGAAATTTGCCTGTCATTTTCAACATTCTTTTGCAATAAATATACTGCTGATCAGACATATAATGACTGCCTTAAATATGCTGGATATGTTTCTTTTGTGTTGTGCCAAGGAGGGGAATAAATAATCACTTGCCTGTCAATACATGGATTCGGATGGTGTGCAGAGGACTCTCCGCTGAAAGCACGATACACTACTTTCTTTCTTCAAAATATATTAACGCTGTGTTACATTTCAGAAATGATTTTGCTTACCATGTCCATGAAGAATTATATCAAGGCTTTCCGGCTGTGTAAGAAAAGCTGGCCAAAAAGGAGATCATTTTCCTAGGAAACCATTTGTCCTTTGCAGATTTTTTTGGCTTTTTTGGCAAGAGGCACTGAGTATCATTAATTAAATCAAGGAAAGAGTGTA